ACATATGAAGGTATGCTCTAATTATGAAAAAATATTTTACTTTTAGGGTAATTACAATCACCCCTCAATTATGTATTGTCTTACGCGTCTCCCATTTCGGTATCAAATGGACCTACTGAATGAGAGGTTTCTTTTCGTAAGAATATACATAGGAGGTAGTTCTAATTATTCAAGCATGAGGGTTTTTTTTTTTTTTTTTTTTTTGTGTGTAATTTGGACTTAACTCAGGGGTTGCCGTGATTTGCTCTAAATATTTAGATACCTATGCTTTAAAAAAACAAAATTAGATAACTATTGTAATAATGTCATTATTTCTTTTAAATTAAATTAAATATATGTTTAATTGGTCACGAAATATATATTACATAACCATTATATCTTAAAAAATGATGTTGATATATTATGAGTTGTGAATATTTAAGTTTGAGGGAAAAAAATCAATTTATTATGTATAATATATGGGGCACGAACTCATACTTAATTTAAAAAATGAAATGCTTGTATGTTTCTGTTTAAACTGATATATGGTCACTATTACGTGTGGAAATTGGAACGGAATTTTTTAATTCCCCCGATTTCGATCTAAAGAATTTCTGGTTTTTAAATCAATATTTTGAATTCTAAAAATTCTGATTTTGTATACACAAAAATTCTGATTTTGAATTTTTTGTAATCAAAATTGAAATATACATGAAATTTTAATCCCAAAATAATTCAATATTTCCTTATTTTTTTCATTACACTTATGATATCAATATTATTGTGTATTTTGTATTATAGGTGAATAATAAATGAAATTTCTGCCAATTCCGATAAAAAAAAAAAATCAAGTTTGGAACAAAAACTTTTATTCCAATTTTCGAAATTATATTTTTTTTCTGGTTTTTTTGAAACATACTTGGAATTAATTTTTCACTTTTGAAATAATTTTAACCGATATCTCAAAATCCGATTGGTCCGATTTCTAATCCTAATTCAATATATAACCAATAATGTGCGAAAGAAAAAGGTGGATGATTGGCTAGATGTTGACTAATCGTTTGAGAGCAAAGTCTAAGTATTGAATATTTTGTATATTCTTTTAGAGTGCCAACAAAAGTTCGTGCACGTTGGGACCAATTTTGTCAAATTCAACATTTTTGTGCTCCTTTTATAATTATTATTCGAATATTTTAATTTGAATTATGAGGCATATACGAAAAGTCTCCAATTAATATATATATATATATATATATATATATATATATATATATATATATATATATATATATATATATATTATCGACTCAATAGGCCTACTAATTATTTTTAATATTGGGTGTTAAATAGGGCTCAAAATACAATCTACCTATAAGTTAAGTTTATAGATCAATTCCATTGACTGAAGTTAGTCATTGAACAAGAGTAATCTTTTAATAAGGATTCAAGTAATTAATAGGGTATTTGTTTAAAAGCTTATAAGTTGTTAAATTAAGCTTATAAGATGTTTGACAACTAATAAGTTCTTACAATGTTTGGTAATTTTTAAAAATTATCTTGAAAATTCAATAAATAAGCTAATAGAGAACTTCCAAGATTTTTTTTAAAAGTACCGATAAACCACTATTTAAGATCTCAAAATTACTAAAATAATTGATAATCTCATCATGCAACTATTTTAAAAATTGTTTAAAAATGTGATGCAACATCTTATCGGCTCTCAAAACTACTTATTAGACATAAGAATTTATCATCTTTATATATATATATATATATATATATATATATATATATATACCCAAAAAGTCAATAAAATATCTGTTTCAGTCAATGCTTAAAGTCTCATTTTATTTTTAAGGTTCATTGGCCAGAATTAAAAATAAATAAATAAGATTTGTCTTTGATTTTGACTCACACGACTGTTTGAAGTGACATTTTATGTATTTTCTCATAAGATTAAATGGTATACAACGTATGTAGCAATCACGGATACAGAAACGACGAGACGATAAAACGAAAAACGGACACATATAAATGACATGTTCCAAAAATAGTGATACAAGAGCTTGGGAGAAATATGTAAATATTAAAAATATAGATGTATATTTATATATATGCTATATAAACATATATAAGTTTTTACTATACATAATTTTTTTTGATACAAGTATATTCAAAATATATTTTACTACCGACTATCAATTTGCAATTAAACATTAAATCATGTAAATATTTAGGGCAACAAAAAAAAATGCTATTCAAACATGTCTCTAACTTTTTATACCGTGTTCTTGTTCTCAAGTGTCGGACACAAAACGTTTCCGAAATACATAACTATTAAGAAGTTGAAGTTTACGAGCTACATCGCTAAAACAACCTTAAAATATTCCCACATAAAATGCCAAGATTACGTGTTTGTACATATCACTATCATTGTTTCTAATAATTTAGATGTTAAGTTTTGCGTCACTAATTTGTTTTAGATATAGCGTCACTAATTATTTTAAGTTGTAGAATTTCATTTTACTTTCTTTTCATTTTGATTAATTATAGTGTTAGATATTTTTTTGTCTACATTTTGACGATCTATAGTTGTTTAAGTCTTCTCCATTTCATTAATTAATAAATAAAATGGAGTTGCTCTCATAGTAAGAAGACAATTATACTTTTATAAATTGGAGAACTTTATGATTTTTTCTTCTTTTTTATTATTAATAATTTGCAAAGCAACTAGAAACCAATCGATGGGGGGCAATTTGGCAAGTTTGGGCCGAACTCCCTGGAAAATGGACTCAAGGAGTAATACAGAAGGAAGCATGGGCGAGTCGATAGCGCTGGAGGTCCAAAAACCATTTTATGTGGGCTTGAAAAATCGTTAGATGAAGAAGGTCGCCAAGATATCTCTTGTTCGTCAGGGAAAAGAGGTCGCTGTCGCGACCTCTGTTAACATAGATAGAAGGAAAGCGCGTAGCATAGGGCGAGCATGAGAGGGGTTAGTGAAGGCATAGATTTTGAGAGATCTTTCATATGAAGAGAAGGAAAGAAGATAAAGTCGTATAAGAAAAGAAGATCCGATCAAATCCGAAGAGAAGTAGATCGATTTATTCTATGCTACGCCGATTGAAATGCACCGGGTAGATCTTTACCATTCATATACACACAAACACAAACACACCCAAACTGGTGTGTGTAGATCAACGGTAAAAAAATATCGGGTGTTGTAGTCTTCACCAGGTGTAGCATAGAAATAACCGAAGTAGATCATAGAAGATCGTTGCTAGATACGTGTATCTTTAGAATAACTTATAAGCTAAACTTATAAGCATTTGAAAAAAGTATGCAATTAGCTATACTCAAAACTACCTCAACGTAGTCTATACAAAGCAATTGGCTATAACAATTTCTTTTCATACAACTTGTAATAATACATATGATACAAATAATCCTATGATTTAAAAAAAAAAAGAAAAAAAAAGAGCAGATAAAAGAATATGATTTGAGGATACAGTTAAACTAAAATTAATAAATAAATAAATAAATGATGTTTTATTTCAAATCAAGATCATCGTCTTCATCAGGATCTAAATCGCTCGAGATTCTGATTCTCTTCACTTCCCTCTGGCCCGTTCTTCCCTTCTTCGGCTTTCCCCTAATAGAAATAAACAACTCGAATTATGCTTCGCATAATAAAAACGAATTATTAATAAGTTCGAATATAAACAAACCCTTTTCAGTTTTTATAACGATTAACAGTTGAAAGTTCACTTACTGAGCAGCGGCTGCCAAGCTTCCGACTTTCGGCCTACCTTGAACCATATCCGATTTTCCATCTACAATGTTATTAAAACCACGGGGAACTCAAAATTAAAACGCAATCGAAAAATAAAAAATAATAAATAAATAAAAAACTCTGTAATAACACGACGAAAGAAAGACTAACCCTCTTTGCCAACTCTGAGCTCCTCTGCCTAAACAAAGAAATGAGCATCTTTATTCGATTAAGTTGACTCAAGTATACACACACACACACACATATATATATATATATATATATATATATATATATATATATATATATATAAAAGGCTGGGACTGAGTTGGTTTTTACCCACCAACCGACAACCGACCCATTACTGACCATATTTTCAGGCGGATAATAATTTTTTAACCGACCCACTGGATCGGGTCAATTTTTTTGATCAACCCATCTATAATGGGTCGGTTGATGGTTTCTAATATTATCAAAATTCGGTTGACCGATAATTATCGGTCAACCAACTATATCATGGAAATCACTCTGCTACAAAGTGATTAATCATTAATTGCGTAATTAGTAAACTAATTTCTCGGTGATTGTACGTACCGCTGGTGAGGTGACTGAGGACAACGAGAACACTCTATCTTCAATCTGGAACTTTCTAGATCTCTTTAAGCTGTACAACAAAATTTTTGAAAACCACGATTTTTAAAATTATAACACATGCTTAATTAATTCTGTCGATGCTATATGTCAACACCAAGCACTATATTTAACTCGGAACAAGTGCAAAAGTACGTCAAACAAACGAAAGGTACTAAAGATCTAATTAGATGTGATATAATTAAGGTTCTTACTTAGTCGTGTTCTTCGACGAAGAAAGAAACCCGTCAAAGCCCTTTAACACATTACCGAAAGTATTTGTTTCTTGCAAGTAGCTCGTCTCCAGTTCGTATACCTACGAAATATATACATACACATAGATACGCTTCAGACAGTAATACAAACCATAGAAATCCCACCATGTAAAACAAAATTCTTTGTAAGAATATAAGCAATAAATACGAAAAAGCTCAAATTCAATTTCACAATATTTAAATTACCAAAATAACCCAAATCTCAGCTTAATTTCACAACAAAAAGTAAAAATTAAACTAAAATAACAGTATAAAATTTTCATAACATTTAAATTCAACAACAGTATGAAGCACAAAATCGGAACCTGGTTTTCGACACTTCGAAGCTCGTTGTGAAGCTTCTCTCTCTTCTTCAGCAGAGAAGAAAGCATTAATTTGGGATTATTTGAGCTTCTGAGCCCTACATATGGAAAATTAATGCAATAAATTAAATAAATAAATAAAATCAAAAATCAAATAGCATTTATAGGATTTAGGGTTTACCTTGTAAATCCATTTTCGCGCCAATTGCTAAAATTTTGTTGGGTTACCAGATTTGGGGGTAACGGTATTTTGAAACGGATGCTTTAATTGTTTTTGTTTTTCCTTTTTGAGGAAATTTGGGGGAAACTGTGAACTGTGAAGAGTGAATGAAATGGATAAGGCTACAGCTTTATCGGCCATTTATTTGAGAGGGAAATTAGTATAGGGGAAATTAGTGATACACCCCTACTTTTGAAAATATATATGAGGAGACCCAATGAATATTTCTACTCTAGTCAAAAACCCAAAATTCTGATCTTAATTAGTGAGACCCCCCCTGAACAACTTGAAGTACTTATTTTACCCTTTTAATTTTAATTCAATATATACCCTAATCTTATCTCTTCTCACTCACACGGTTTCAACCACACCGCCATTCTCACCCTCTCTCTTCATCTCTCCCTCTTTCTTACTCTGTCTCGCTGCTCCCCACCGTCTCACCGTCTTGCGCCGCCCGCCGCCACTACTCCCCCACTGCTCCCCCACCATCTTGCGCCGCCTGTCGTTTAATCTCTCCCCCTCTCTCTTCATATCTCCCTCTCTCTGATTCTCCCTCGCCAGATCTGGTGCCGACAGATCTAGGCGACCCATCGGTCTCTTGTTGGTGTACATATATCATCCTCCTTCTCCGGAGCCTCCACCACCGCCCCCGGCGGGGTTCCGTTGTTGCCGCCGTCGAGATCGCTCATGCCGTCCTCGTCACGGTTGCTCTTCTGGCCGCTGATGTTGAGGGTGCCGCTGGTCTCGATTTGCTCGTCGTTTGAGTTGTGGATCTGGTGATGGTGGAATTACCCAAATTCAGTCAGGTAATTTGACGAGCATCTTTTTTTTTTTTTTTTTTTTGTAATTTTGGGATTTTGATTGAATGATTGTGTGGTTATTTCCCAGATTTTACTGTTTGTTCTGACATTAGGTGTTGATGCTTGATTTGATGCAAAGTTTGTTGCCTTTGACTTGCAATTAATTACTGTATATGTTATGGGTATCCAACTGAGAATTTTTCCTTTATATTCCTATAAGGCTGATTTTAATATTAGTAAGTTACATTTTGAAAATGGTGATATATTGTCCGACTTTGATGTCTTCTTGGTGAAATTACATTCAGGTATTGAAAAGACTGGCTCACCGTAGAGTAATGTACCATTCTTACTCGGTTCAAGTTCATGGCTATATATGTTCATCCACAAATGATGACAGTGGTTCATTTACTCTAGTACATGGTGTAAGTTTCTCTTTCTCAAAAAAGTCAATCTAAAGGGGTGCTGCCGTTTTCATTTATTCTATTAGTTAATGTGCTAATGATTTCATATTTCCAATATGATTGAAGGTCTGAATTATTTTTATGTTCAGTATCATGGCAATTCTTCTTTGAGACATTGGCTTCAACAAGCAGATTGGCTACCAACTCTAGAAGCTACTCTCGTGTTGGATGAGGAGTATGTCAGGCGAGTCGGTGATGATACAGTGGGAGGACCGGCAGTTTCTCGACAATTACGTCTTATTCGAAACTTGGCTGTACTTGTTTCAGTGTAGGAGAGATTTGCGTTATCAAGTCATAAATAGTCACACGTGGTCATATACATATAGTCATATTTAGTCACGTGTAGTCATCATGTAGTCATATATAGTCACGTGTAGTCATATACATGTAGTCATATATAGTCACGTGTAGTCATATACATGTAGTCATATATAGTCATGTGTAGTCATATACATGTAGTCATATATAGTCACGTGTAGTCATATACATGTAGTCATATATAGTCATGTGTAGTCATATACATGTAGTCATATATAGTCATGTACATGTAGTCATATATAGTTACGTGTAGTAACTCGTAGTAATATATTGTTATATATAAGCTATATAAGTTATGTGTTTTTTCTGATGTATAGTGATGTTGATGATTGTGTTTTTCCAATTTTTTGTTGGGTATTAATTGATTTATAATATCAAGATTAAATTGTGAATTTTTGTTTTTGGTGTAGATGAAGTTTTTTTTTATATAATCATATGTAATATATATACCATAGTCATGTGTAGTCAATTTCAATACAGTAAATTTATCAAAATATTGAAACAAAATTAAAAATTAAAAATTAAAAAAAAATTAAAAAAATTAAAAAATTAAAAAAATTAAAAAAATTAAAAAATTAAAAAAATTAAAAAATTAAAAAAATTAAAAATTACAAAAATTAAACAATTTTAAAAAATTAAAAATACAACAGAGGTATATATAAAAAATAATAATAAAATAAACATTTATAATTTTTTATTAAAAAAATCTGATAATATGATAAATGCAGGTCTAAATGTTAATTGCAGTTGATCATAATGCTGAATGCAGTTACTAAAAATACTGAATGCAGTTGGGCAAAAAATAGATATAAGGGCACAATAGTACTTTTGCCTCCCCAGGGGGTTATCTCAAAGGAAGAATTTTAGGGGTGGACCTATCCCTATATATTTTCCATATTAAGGGTGTATATCAAATGGACCCATTAGTATATGCTCTTTTCAAGTTTTATTATTATTATTATTCTTCTTGAAATGAATATAATGTTTTGTAATTATTAAATTAGTTCCGTTTTATTTAATATTTATTAAATTTCATTAAGTCTTTTTAATTATTCAAATCATATCAATTCGAATTTTTTCCTCAAATTCCATGTTTATTTTAGTTTGAACATGTGATTTTTTTTGTCAAATTCGAACTTGGAATACTAGGGATGTTTTTAGTGTGTGATTTTGTGAAAACATTAAGGAAAAAGAAGAAGGGTGGAGAAGAGAGAAGAATTCAAAGAGAGAAATACTTTTTGTGTGTGCATGATTTGGTAGAATTAGTGTGCGATTTAGCATTTCAAATAATTTATTCGTGCAGTATCTAAACTAATTCAAATTTTTAAAAGAAATTGAATTCCTACAAAAAATAATAAATTAATTAATTAATTAAATGTACATAATTACTTACAAAGAGAGTGGAGAAGAAGAAAAAAAAATCACATTTTAGCAACGTATTTGCACAATTTTATTTTATATTTACTAACATGCTACCTTGTCTTTTTTTTTTTTTCTTTTTTTTTTAGGAAATTGCAACATTTATTAGGCACCGTCGGCCAAATGTGGGGGGGAGAATAGTCCCTTCCAAACATTTCAGAAACATATATAAAAGTTAGTTCATTAACCGAGCTTCGAAAATGGCTCTATACGATCTGATCATGTGCGCCTTGTGTAAAGCGTCCATAATCTGTAAACAGTCACCCTCTACAATTATAAATTGCCATTATAGAATACGGCTGAGAGCTTGAAAGAGAGCACGAACTACCTTGTCTTGAGGGTTATATATATTAACGAAATAGATGATGGACTAATAACATGTTCGGCTGTCAATAATAACATTAATCGAGTTTGCAATAAAAGCCGACGCCCGTAATTAAGTATTTATTATCCAACAAAATAAGTATTATCCTCTTTGCAATTAATCAATTTTATTTTTTATTTATTTTATTTTTTTATTTATAAACTTTGATTTAAAAACAACATTTTGTTTTAGATTTTGGGCCAATTGAAATTGGGCTATCAAAACACTGCCAAACATTGAAATTGGGCCTTAATTGGGCTGTTCAAACACCACCGAAAGTGAATGGCTGTCATTTTCAAACCACTACAAAAATAAAAGGGTAAATTACAATCACCCTCTAAGGTATGGTCAAATTACAAAAAAAAGCCCTCTTGTTTTGATAATTACAACCACCCCCTCAACTATAAATCTTTTTACACGCCCACCCTTGCGTTTTCAAATTTCGTCGAATTTTCGAGATTATATGGATTATTATCACTTTTGTACCAGTGTTATCCTATTCGAACTCCACATTTTGAAGCAAGACGATCATAATATGTGTTTTTAAGCTTGTATATATCAGATTGTGGTGCATCAAAAACTGTATTTTTACACAAAACGAGTACAAAATAGAGCACATTTCACGAAATCTAGACGATTCTGTTGAATTTGACACCATAAGGGTGGAGGTGTAAGAAAAAATCGTAGCTGAGGGGGTCGATGTAATCACCCAAACAAATGCGGTTTTTTCGTAAATTGACCATACCTTAGGGGATGGTTGTAATTTACCCAAAATAAAAAGAAAAAAGAAAAGCAGCGAATATAAATTTGATTATCTTTTGAAACAGTTTATGCCAAAATAGTACCCTGTGCCACATTCTCCCTGTTACACGTCCAACTTTGCCTCTGCTTTTTCTTCACCATTCTCTCTCTCTCTTCTCTTCTACCCTTCTCTTTCTCTCTCTAGAACTGGTTTCGCCATGTCTTTCCGCGGTGGAGGAGGGGTCAGTTTCTCTTTTTTTTTTTTTTTTTTTTTTCTGTATTTCTTATTCCGATTTAATTACGATTTTATGATCTTTAGTTGTTTGCCTGATCAGAGTTGATTTCTGTTGGTATTTGCTTTAATTGAATTTTTATTATAGTTTTTGCTTTGTAAAACTGGGTTGTGTGAAGAATTAGAACTGAAATTAGGTTATTTTGATTGAAGCTAAAATTAATTTAATTTGGGGATTCCTTGGTAATTTGGTAGATGGTGGCATGGAGTTTGCGATTATACAATATACAATAGGGTTTGATTGTGCAATAAATTTCAATTTCTTGTGTCAGTAAAAATCCATGATGGCTTTGTTTTCGGAGTTGATCATTTTTAATATTTAATTTCATGCTGTCTGGTTCTTATTATTTCTATTAAATTTGGAATTAAAAAATAAATAAAAAATACTTGTAGCAAAAACCTGAATCATTGCATAAACACCCTCAGTGTTGTTTCTTACAGTATTGTGTGTGTGTGTGTGTGTGTTAAAATCGAAACGAGTTTCTATAAGAAGCATCGTCTTTTCTTATAAGCTTGTACAATTTTTGTCATGCTGAGTATTGCCCGTGATCAATGTTATCGAGTTTATTGTATTTAGTCCCTGTGCTATTGTTATTAGCAAAAGCGCCCCTATAATTTGGCACACAAACCACTAAATGGTGAGGTTTAACATAATTTGCTAAAAAAGCAATTGTATTATAGGGGGAGTTTTGCTAATATTAAATAACACGAGAGCTTCTTTAACAATTAGAGTAAACATATGGATGCTGAATGCAATAAACCCCAATATTATCATGTATAATAGTTATATTGGATAGTCTGACCATTTTTTCTTTATCGGAACGTAGTCTCATTGACCATATGTATATATATATTTGTGAAATATTAATTCCAGACGAATGCATCATCGGGAATGGGGGTGGCCGATCAGAGCAACATCACCTACACAGAGCTGCAGCGGAAGAAGGTGCACCGCTATGTGATATTCAAAATCGACGAGAAGAAAAAAGAAGTTGTGGTTGAAAAGACTGGCGGCCCAGCCGAGAGTTACGAAGACTTCACTGCTTCTCTACCTGAGAGTGACTGCCGATATGCAGTTTACGACTTCGACTATGTCACCTCTGAGAATTGCCAAAAGAGCAAGATCTTCTTCATTGCATGGTCTCTCTCTCTCTCTCTCTCTCTCTCTCTCTCTCTCTCTATATATATATATATATATATATATATATATATATCCTTCTCTCTCTCTCTCACATGGACTTTTACATGTGTATTTTAGGTCTCCTTCGATTTCTCGTATTCGAGCAAAGATGCTATACGCAACATCAAAGGAAAGGTTTAGGAGGGAGCTGCAGGGTATACACTACGAAATTCAGGCCACCGATCCAACAGAGATGGATCTTGAGGTCATTAGAGAGCGCGCAAATTGAAATCTTTCTCGGGGCGCAACTATTATATATACGCATGCAAAATCTATAAGAAATTAAGTCGATATATATATGCGAAATGTGGCTTTTCGATCAATACTTGTGCCTTGTACCGTAAAAGTCGCACATTAAATAATTTGAGCATGATGGGGAAGGCTGATTAGGAGCTCTCTTGTATTGGAGGTTTCCTTCTTCTCGCGATGCTTCCTCAATGAAAATGTGTCTCGTTTATCGCTATTAGCAGTTGAAATTAATATATCGTATAAACTCGATTATCAGTTGCGATTATTTTTTTCTTATCTGATTTTGTCCATCTTACCGGGGCTTAATACCCGAGCCCCGAAGTGTTGGTGCCCCGATGTCGATGAATAGAAATTAGAGGCGTAACTATTTTGTTTTAGTTAAATTTTATAAACATATACTTATTTTAGTGATTTTTTTATGGATAGCTAAAAAAAAGAAAGTCAAATCTACCTTTGGTTATATTATTTCCGAAAAGAATTCGCAGTTGAATAAAGCGTTCCAAACTTCCAATCATAAAACAGTAAAACTAAATAAATAGTCGGTATATTCTAAAATTATAATAATAATGATGATAAGAAATAAATAATAAATAATAAATAAATCATCTGGTATACAAGGGATATTATGGGAAAATCACATTAAAAGGAAAAATGGAACGTCTTCCCAATTGTCTTCGACAGATATTTTAACTTGGTGAACTTGGGAATAAGATTATTTATAACAATTCGTTTTGAAATGGAGATATTTATATATCAAAAAAGAAAAAGAGATAAATATCTATGAAAGAAAAAGAGAATAAAAAAATTGTAATAGAAATGGAAATCTATATTATATAATGGCATGGATAAGGGAGGACATGGGCCAGTTGTAAGCATTTAGAGATGACATTTGAGAGGAAGTCTCTAGTCATTGATAAAGAAAGGGACTTGTTCTTTACACTACATTTTTCTTTTAACTTCTACATGATATCATTATAATATCTTTGTAGCTTTTGATAAACCTCAACACTCTCGTATAATAGCTTGTAAGTTATTCAAGAGACGGAAACTATACTATGCTGATCAATGTGTGACAAACTCTCAACTGCTGACACGGGAATTCGAACTTGAGTCTGACACAAGCTTATTTGTTGCAACCGCTAGGTAATCCTTTACGAGACTTGAATTAAGTTATTTGGTTGATAGATATTAAATTGTTAGATGCCGTTCAATATTATTTTTTGAGTAATTGTAGTAGATTTTGGTATCTCGATCATTCTTTGATTCAAAAATTTCTAGAAATGCGATTGAAAGTCGGATTTTACTTCAAAAAGAAAAAGTTTGAAATCCGAAAATGCTACTTCAGATCCATTCTTTCTGATTTACATTATAGTGACGAGTCCATCATTTGGCCGGGGTGGACTCAAGCTCCTCCCCTCAATTGCAAAAATATCCTTTATATTATAGTTACATATTAATTTAGCCCATCCATATTTTGTTATTAACCCCACTCAAATCCTAAATTAATGCAAAAGAGGTCCAAACAAAGTTATTTTATTTTTTACTTCATAGTTTCTGGTTTTTAAAGAAAAAAAATCCCTTTTTTTTTTCCGGAAGCAGCATTTAGCCCACTCAAATCCCGAATTAATGCAAAAGAAGTCGTAAAAAAGATTATTTTCCTTTATTTTTTCCTTTCTAATCTTTTTTTTTTTCCCGAGGTGTTGCTCCTGAATACCCGAAATTTAAGTCCGATATGTAAAAAAAATAAAAAATTCATGCACTCGCAACTGCTTACGTATAAATATATTTGTATTAATAAAAATATATATATGTTTTCAAGAATCAGTTAGCAAATTTAATTGCAACTTACAAGGTCTTGATTCCTGTGATGTTCTATTCAGTGTATACCATAAAAGGAATATACATTTCTAGATTCTCTCTCTCTCTATATATATAGTAAACTTTTGCATTATTTATCTCAATTAGTGGTCTACTTGGCATAATTATTTATTTATTTTAAAAATATTTTTTTCCTTTTTTATTGTGGGTAGTTTGTCACCTCTTTGTCTTGTAATCACCCAACTTGGTCACATGAAGTCTAATCTTCATGCTCAGTATTTGTCCTAAAAATTTGGCTTCATCAAAACCGTGTCGGCAAAATTTAGTTCTCTCTCTCTCTCTAAACTTCAGTTTCTTGAATTTTTCTATCATGGGTTTTCTCTCTCTAAACTTCTCTCTCTAAAGAAATAATTACTAGGTATGTACATCACAACCCACAAGTCCTCTGTTTCTCAAGTTGGGGTTTCAAGATTAGTTTGTCGGAATTTAATTTCAAGAAATTCTTGCACAATTATTTGAATTTTTTTTTTTTTTTGATTTTTTGAGGGTTTTATGAAATATTAATTTACCAAACAAAAAAATTAAAAAAAAAATTGGATTCTTGAAAAAAATGGAGAAAAACAGCACAACAATTGTGTGGTTCAGGAGAGATTTGAGAATAGAAGACAACCCAGCTTTAGCAGCTGCAGCCAAAAACGGCGTCGTATTACCCGTTTTCATATGGTGCCCGAAAGAAGAGGGTCAATATTATCCGGGTCGGGTTTCCCGGTGGTGGTTGAAGCAATCCCTTATCCATTTGCAGCACTCTTTAAAATCTCTAGGGGCAGAATTGGTATTTATCAAAGCTGAGAGCACTCTCTCTGCTTTATTGGATTGCATTAGTGCTGTTGGTGCAACAAAATTAGTATATAACCATCTTTATGGTATGTTATTATTAATTTTAAATTTTTTTTTAGAATTTTTTTAATAGTATATATAGAGAAAATTGGTTTTAATTAATTCGTTTTGCAGATCCGATTTCGCTTGTTCGGGATCACGCTATTAAGCAGAAATTGGTCGAGCTCGGAATAAACGTGCAAAGCTATAACGGCGAGCTATTGCTCGAGCCGTGGGAAGTGTATGATGATAACAATCGAGCTTTTACGACTTTCGATGCGTATTGGGGTAAATGCGTAAATATGCAAAGGGAGCCCGTTTCGCATCTTCCACCGTGGCGGTTGGTGCCGGCCGGAGGTATTTTATTGGCCTACGCTTTGTTTATGTGGCTCGTATTCTTGGTTTTTTTTTCATGAGAGATATCGTAATATACGACTTATTTGAGAGTATAACTCGTAGAATACGATCCTAAATCGAAATGAATCATTAACGTAGAATACGATCCTAATTGAAATGCATACAATAGTGTAAACGAACCTTAGGTGATGTTTGCAAAAGTTTTTGGAACTGATTATGAGCTTTTTTATGGCTTAAAATATTTGCAGCACTAGCTTTTGTTTCCGCTTCTTTATTTAAAAATAAGCAGTTTTAAGCCATAATCTGAGAAACAGCCTTGGGGTTGCTTCTCCAATTTAAAAGTACTTTTGCAACTAACTCAAAAGCATATTTGACATTTCCACCCTTCATTTCTCTTATCCAAATTCCAATTGATAGGAAAATTTAGATATTTCATAAAAAATAAGCTAAAAATTTAAGCTTTATTTGCAAACACTATAACTTTTCTACCGGTTACTTAAATTTAGATATTTCATAGTATTTGCAATAGCAAACACCTCCAATTTTTTTTTTAGAAACGAGCACTTACTCTAAGGTGGTGTTTGCAAAAGCTTATTTAAAAACATAAGTTAGTGATTGTGAGTTAAGTTGATATTAAGTGCTTAATTCTAAAAGTTGGGGGTGTTTGCAAAAATTCTGAAAAATCAATTTAAATAGAAGAAGCAGGTACATGGGTGCTTTTAAAATTAGGTACATGGGTGTTTTTAAAATTATAGCTAAAAGCAGCTTATTTTAAGAGAAGCAAAAACAAAAGTCGGTTTTGCAAACACTTAAAAACAGCTTATGGAAGAAAAAAACTCATAATCTATTTCTAAAAGCTTTTGCAAACACCACCTAAATTTAACTCACAATCATCACAATCATTAACTTCTGCTTCTGCTTCTGTAAAAGCTTTTGCAAATTCCACCTGAAAAAAAAACAATCAAATAAAACTAAAAGAGCTCTTTATCCATTTTTTTCTGACAGGAATGGCGGAGAGTGCTCCAATCGAGGCATTGGGCCTCGAAAACGAATCGGAAAAATCGAGCAACGCCCTACTCGGACGAGGCTGGTCGCCAGGCTGGCAAAATGCCAACAAAGCATTCTCCGAATTCCTCGAACACAACCTCCAAAGCTACTCAACCGAAAGCCCCCTCATCGGTGGGGCCCACTCCACCTCCCTCCTATCCCCCTATCTCCACTTCGGCGAACTAAGCATCCGAAAAGTCTACCAATCCCTCCTCATGAAACAAATCGTATGGAAAAACGAGCAAAACACCGTCGGAGAATCCTCCGCCGCCCTCTTCTTGAGATCGATCGGGCTCAGGGAATATTCCCGTTACATATGCTTCAACTTCCCGTTCACACACGAGCGGCCTTTGCTCGGCGCGCTGAGATTCTTCCCTTGGGATTTCGACCAGGCTCGGTTTAAGGCCTGGAGGCAGGGTCGGACGGGGTACCCGCTTGTCGATGCGGGTATGAGGGAGCTTTGGGCGACGGGGTGGATTCATAATAGGATTAGGATCATTGTTTCGTGCTTCTTTGTGAAGTTTCTTCGTTTGCCTTGGCAATGGGGGATGAAGTATTTTTGGGATACACTACTTGATGCTGACCTGGAATGCGATATACTCGGTTGGCAGTATATTTCCGGGAGTTTGCCGGACGGGCATCAGCTTGAGCGTATGGATAGTCCACAGGTAACGTCCGTTATGTATCCTTGCAAATAAATTTATTTAAAAAATATTATTATTTTAGAGTTTTGTTTTTACTGTATAATTGTCGAAAAAGTCCTCGTATTATGAATATTAGCAAAATCTGCCCCCTATGATTCAATTTAATTAGCAAAGTACCCCTTCAAAACGAACCGTTTAGGGAGTTATCTGCTAAAAAAATGCATCATAGGTTTTTTTTGCTAATTTTTTTATCACTCTTGAGGGTTTTTTAGCAATTAGAGGTACTAATGTGGTGTTTGCAAAAGCTTATTTAAAAACAGAAGTTATGGATTGTGAGTTAAGTTGATTTTCAGTGCTTATTTCTAAAAGTTTGGGCTGTTTGCAAATTTACCGGAAAATAAACTTGAATAGAAAAAGCAGGGTTATCGGTGTATAACAAATTATTGCTTAAAGTTGCTTATTTTAAGAGAAGCAAAAGCAAAAGTTTGTTTTGCAAACACTTAATAATAGACTATGAATAAAAAAAAGCTCATAATCTATTTGTAAAAGCTTTTGCAAACACCACCTAAATGCAATTAACTTTATATGCAATTAACTTGTGAAGATACTTCCGGTAATCGCTCATTTTCTCGAAATGATACATCAGAACGAATACGTAACTGAAACATGGATAATACGTAGTCCTAATCCCTCGTTTGCTTGGCAAGATAAGTCATGATTGATTAAATAATTTAGCCTTCATTTTGTGTTTCATTAGTCCGACAACTTTTGCGGTTGGCTCGAAAGTTTGGGTCGGAATTTTTCGAAAATAAATACCTTTCAGAGTTTATTGTTGTACTAATATGACAGCAAAAAATCTTTCTTTGTTTAACTTTAATTCTCCAAGAATCCATTTTACGAGCTTAGAAAGTCCATATATTCATTTTCCAATTGCCAAATAATCACATTTAATTTCTGTATACTATTTCTTTTAATCCAGATTCAAGGATTCAAATTCGATCCAGAGGGTGAATACGTGAGGCAATGGTTACCCGAGCTAGCACGCGTGCCAACCGAGTGGATCCACCACCCGTGGGACGCTCCACCAACCGTGGTTAAATCCGCAGGAGTTGACCTTGGAGTCAACTACCCTAATCCGATAATCGATATAGATTTGGCCAAGGAAAGATTAACCGAAGCAATCGCTGTCATGCACATGAGAAACGAAGCCGACGGGACGGATTGTGAAGTTGTATTCGATAATTCCGAAACTACCCCCGATTTATCTGCTTCAGAGGTTGTTGTTGTAGTGGAAAACTTGCCTTGTCCGGCTAGTTCTTCTCGTGATCAAAGGGTACCGTCCATGAAAATTTCCGAAAATAATATTATTATTGAAAAAAGAAAAAGACCGAAACTGGGAGAGGGTGGTAGCAATAGTAATAATAGTATTGGATCTGAGGTGTCGAGAATGGATGATGACGTGGCGTCTACGGCCGAATCTTCTTCGAGTAAGAAACGGATGACTGATAGTAGAAATTACTTTTCTGTTCCTCAAAATTACCCTTCAATTTCTGAGGATGAAAAGTATCGGGTTTGCGAGTCTTCTGAAGTCAAACATAAACGGTTTGATGAAATTGCCGACGAAGATATGTCGAACAAAAACGGTAAGACGTGCGATTTAGTTTATTATATATTTTTTTTTTGAATATTCAAAATAATAGTCCCTGTCATATAAATTAATTAAATTTATGTGACAACAGGAGCAACGATGTTGAAGATTTCCGAAGAGCAGATTATTATCGGGGACGACAGCTCGTCGTTGAATATTTGAATGATGTCGGCATGCTTTGTAGATAAGTACTTCATTGCTAAACAATTTTTTTTTCTTTCTATTTTTCACATGTTATGTTGGACTTTGGATCTATAGTAGATTGGCTGACTGTCTTATAATTATGTAACTGGTATTCTGTTTATATATAGAATGTGATGAGTTTTTAGCAAGCGGTACCCCTAAGGTAAGTCTAATTGCTGGAGAAGTCCATGTGTTAAAAGTATTAGCAATTTCCCCCCTATGAAATATAGTCAAAGCCATGAAATCACCTTGCCCATGATCGTCCAATACACTCGCCAATTATGTGAGCGTGGGGTGTGTTTTTCAGCTTGAAAAGACTTAAATACCCTTTAAATAAGAAATTTCAAAAATTATAGAATCACCCCAGTATTTTCAAAAAAGCGAATTTCTTCCCACCTTTTTTTTTTCTTTTCATTTTCTGGTTTTGTGGCTGAAAAGGGGAAAAACGGGGGGTTTGCATTAGAAGAAAACTCAGCGCCATCGACAACATCAGGGTTGGTCGCCATTGTTGGATTCGTCGTTTCTCTTTGATTTTGACCGTGTTGGAGAGCAGAGTAAGAATAAGAAGTAAAAGTTTCAGCCTCACCGGTGGGATCGGAATAGCGGGTGGTGTTTAGGAAGAAGATGAGTTGCAGCCCCTTTCTCTCATTATTTTATTATTTTGTTTTTTTTACACAAATCAATTTATATTTTACCTATATTATTTTAATTATGGTAGTTTAGTCATTTCACCTAAGTCATCTGTAAAATACGAAGAAAGGGGCGATAGACTAAATAAAATTCACCATAGGGGGTCAATGCTAATTTTTTAAGATAAGGACTTTTACGTCAATTGGACTTTTCACATAGGGTTCCATGCAATTAACTCTAATGTGATAGAATGATGTCATGGTGATGTAATATTCTTTTTATTTTTTTTATTTTTTTTATATATATATGATCAATCTTAAAAATAACCATTACATCATTCTTGGATATGTAAATAAAGATCAAGAAAGCTCATTCTTAATTAATTACATACACATTCATCACACCGGAACGGTCCTAAACTCATTACCCCTCATTTCGACTCCGTTAGAATCATCGTCATCGTCTTCATTCTCTTTCGACATCTCCTCCAAAGACCTCCCGTTCGATTCCGGCACCAAAAACGTGAAAACCACACCCAAAGCGTTAATACACCCTAACACGATCAACGAATTTCTAATCCCGATTCCCGCCGGGTAACCGGCATCCCTCTTCGTCGGATCCGTCGGCTGCGACGCGTATAGAAACCCGAACGCACCGATCATCGCGCCTGCTTTTCCGGCAGCAGCTGATATTCCATGGCACGTGGACCTCAATCTAGCTGGAAATATCTCCGCGGGGACCACGAATGTGGTTGCGTTGGGACCGAAGTTGGCGAAGAAGAAAGTCAACGAGTACATTATGACGAACCCTATTCGGTTCTCCTTGTGGGTCCAGTGGTCGTAGGGTATGGCCAGTGCGAACATGAACACGGTCATGAAGAAGAATCCCATTAGCTGGATTGCGAAGCGGCCGATTTTGTCTATGAAGAAGACGGTGAACCAGTATCCTGGCACGGTGCTGCAGAGTGCGATTAGGGTTTGGGCTCTGGCGATTTTGTAGACCTCTTCGAGGGCGTTCATTGTTTTGGGGGCCGGGATCCAACCGATACCGGTGAAGATGTCCTTTTGGAAGAGGTTTTGGCTGTAGAAGGCGATGTCGAGGAGGAACCACGTGCTGGTTGTGCCGAGGAGGTGGAGGCCGTGGCGGTGGAGGAATTTCTTCGAGAAGAGGCCGAAGTCGGTGGTGGTGGTGGAATTGTTGTTTGCGATTATGGTGTTGCTTTCGGATTCGATTTCGACTTGGAGGACTTTGGACATGTCGGAGGCGGCTTGTTTGGCGTTCTTAGCCACGAGTGCGGTGTAGCGGGCGGTTTCCGGCATCTTCATCCGCCAGTAGTAGGTGAGGGCGGCGGGGAGGGCGCCGAACATGACTATGATTCGCCAGACGAAGTCGGCTTGTGGTGGGGTGGAGAGGAGGGGGGCGTCTTGGTAGGCGGGGGTGGGGTAGGCGGACTTGAAGGCGGCGGCGACTATGATGGCGACCATGCCGCCGGCGAGGATGCCGAAGCCCTGCATGGCGAAGACGGCGGCGATGAAGGCGCCGCGGGTCTTCTTGTTGGCGTACTCCGACATGATGGTGGCGGAGAGAGGGTAGTCGCCGCCGATGCCGAATCCCAGCCAGAAGCGGAAGAAGCAGAGCGTCGCCATCACCGACGCCGGCTTGTCGCTGAACGAAAGCCCCGACGCGACGGAGCAGATCACCATCAGCATCAGTGTCATCCCGTACACCTTCTTCCGGCCGAGCTTGTCGCCGAGCCAGCCGAAGAAGAGCTGGCCGGCGAGGGTTCCGCAGAAGGCGACGCCGTTGACGGCGGCGGCGACGTTGGGTGGGAGGGTGCCTGGCTTCAACGCGCCGTCGTGGTGGTAGTAGATCCGGCCGAGGAGCTTGGTCACGAGGGAGACGCAGAAGAGATCGTACGCGTCGGTGAAGAACCCCATTCCGGCGATGACTATGGCGGTGAAATGGTACCACTGTGTTTTTGCCACGTCGAGTGCGTTCAGCACTTGCAGCTGCTCCTTCGCCATTGTTGTTTGCTCGAAGCTTTTTTCTTCTTCCTCTTCTGCTCAAAATTCCTTTCTGCAAAATTATTTTAATTATTCTCTGAAATATTAAAAAACAAAAATTTAAAATAAATATTTATTGGGAAAAATTACAGTTTTCACCCCTCAAAATTTCACCAATTACACATTTGGTCCCTTATGTTGCAAAAATTCAACACTTTAAGTCATTTCTGTCGGTTTGCCGTTAAAACTAACGGAATCAAACGTGTTCCCATTACTGCCTTAACTAATGGACTAACGATAAATTGACGAAAATGACAAAAAATGTTAAATTATTGGAACATGAAGTAAAGATGTGGCAAATGTGAAATTGATGCAAACTTGAGGGGTGAAAACCGTAATTTCCCCAATATTTATTATTTAATTTCTATAAATTATAATGTGAGAATGAAAACGAGGTATAATAAAAGATCTGAAAATTAGGAGCAGCAAAGAAGTAGTTGAAAAGTCCGAGAATAAGACAAAAAGCAGGCCATGAACCTTTGACTAAAACGAACTGAAAAGGACAAAGCAATATTGTGAAAGAAACAATTAATAAAATAATACCTAACTTTTTTTTATGAATATATAAAAATTAAAATAATACTTACAAGTCAACAAAATAATTAATTTTCTGACCGCTGCATTTGGTTATTTACGTAGGGTATATTGAAGATTTAATATATAACAATTAAGAATATATACATCATAACTGTGTTTGTGTTTGTGATTATGTATAGATTACGGTTCAGATCCAATCAGTGTAAATCATAACTGTATTTGTGATTATGTATAGATTTACGGTTCAGATCCAATCAGTGTTAGCAGCCACTAATTTCCCAACTAACTTTGAAAGAATTTCGAAATAATATAATGAAAATATTGAAAGAATAGCAAAAGACAAATAATTTAAAACAAAAGCAGTATCAATATTATAATAATTTGTTGACAAAATATAATTTTTTTTCCAAGGTTACAGGAAATTTATAAAACAGACAAAGAAGACTTTTCAGTAAACAAACAAAAGTAGGTTTTTATTTTCGTAATATTATTAATTTGTAAATACATAAAAAAAAATATCCTGTGATTTTTCGAGCTTATAGCACTTTTATAAATAATTTAAATACGTGTATATATATATATATATATATATATATATATATATATATATATTAAAACAAAAACAACAAGAGAGAAACTCAGTAGCAAAATTAGTATGCATACCTACCAAAAGAAATTAAGATATATAATTAAAAACGAATTGCAGACAATTAAACGATTACATTAAAAAAAAAAAAGAGTGAACTAATTAATTTTTATACTCACCTGAAAGAAGATGTATGAAGAATTAATATTCAGAGTTTTTACTGGAGAGAGATGAAGTTAACGCAATAGAGAGAGAGAGAGAGAGAGAGTGTGTGTGATGGAGAGAAATGAAGGGGTGTGGTTGGGCGTATTTAAATACAATGTAGCCGCAAAGAAAAAAGGAAGAAAAGGGAATCTTGTGAAGCATATTCTGATCAGTGTGCCCACCACCGCCGTGTTGGGTCGTCCGTTTCGGCTTATGTGATCTTGACGCGTGTCGTATGAGCTCCACCATCTGACTTGGCAAAGATCGAATGGTTATAAAACATTTTGGGTAAATTACAATTGACCCCCTGAGGTAAAGTCTATTTACAAACAAATCTCTTATGTTTTTATAATTACATTTACCGTCTTAATATTTATAGATTTTTTTTTTAACACCCTTTTATAAGGGGTGGATGTAAGAAATTTACAAAATACAGGGGTCTGGGTGTAGTTTATAAAAAATGAGAGTTTTTTGTAATTAACTTTACCTCGGGGAGGTGATTGTAATTTAACCAAACATTTTTATTTATGGGTTTAAGAATCCGACTAATAAGATCGGAATTCATAAATAGTGTTGGAAAAAGAAATATATCGAGATAGTATTTCTATTTTCTTAGTTCAGGTGAAAAAAATTGTTCCAAGATCGATATTCTCCTGACCGAAACCGCCGGAATTATGAAAGTTCATTTCTTTTATTCCCCAATAATATCAGTGTTTTATTCAATTTTTTTAAAAGAAATTTCCTGATAATGCTAAAAATTAATCTCAAATCGGTATGTCACATCTATTCCATTTTTTTATCAACAAAGAATGCGAAAAAGAAATAAAAATTTAAAGAACTGCAGTCCGAATAAAAAAAATCTATTGTTCCCATAAAAATATTGGGTCGGAATCAAAGAAATGTAAATTAATTTCCGTTCCAATTTTTGTCCGTAATTGTATCCTACATTTCGAGGAAAATAATACATGTTATTTGTCGTCAATGCATAATTAATTTTTTATATGGAATTTATATTTTTATGGGAATGGATAAAGGAATATCACAGCTAGTTAACGCTGATAATTTTATTAAAAGAGTAAAGTATTATTTATTATTATTATTATGATTTTAAATATAGACTGTATAATGAGTTTTTAATTTACGTAATATTAGATGGTGATATTCTAAAAACAAATATTAGTAACGATGCTAGACTTTGGGTCAACGATTCACTTAGGCGAAAAGAACAATTGAACGGTCAGAAATTTGTGCTAGTTTTTGTGTCGATCTTAATATTTCCTTGTGCGTACGTTTCTAGGCATCAATATTTTAATAGTGACAAGTCAAACGAGTCATCAATAGATAGCATAAAAATTACGAATTTTATTTGTTTAGGGGTAATTTAGTCTTTTCAGTTTTCTATTAAGAGAGTTATGTGACTAATTTCATACTATTAGGGGTTCATGCGTAAAATGTTAAACCACAAGGGGTTATGTGCCTAATTTCATATCATAAGGGGGTCATGTGCAAAATATCCAAACCACAAAGTAGTTATGTGCCTAATTTCGTATAATAAATGGGTCATGTGCAAAATGTCCAAGCCACAAGAGGGTTAAGTGCTATTTACTCAATCTTGAAAGATCTTATTTTCTTCATTTTGTATGGTCTTTTTTTTTTTTTCTTTCCCTTCGTCTCATTTTCAATTTAATAGTTTATTTTGTATTTTACCTTACAATATTATACTCACACCAAGAACGTAAATAACAGTAACAACAGTACATGCAAAAGCATTAACGGAGTCAAAATTCTAGGTACAGTCTAGGGGCTGAATGCTACAGGAGAATTTTCTTATATAAAATAATAGGAATTTAAGAAACATTGGGTGATTGCGCCGGAGACCTATGCTGGCTCCGCAAATGTTAAGAAGTCACGGGACTCTTAAGTTAGGCTAACACTTTATTTAATTTGATTTGTTGCTAGAGCTATCCAATTGTTTTAGAAAGAAAACATATTGCTATGAGTATAATATATATACAAATTTTGTACATAGATGAAGTTGTTGTGGTGTAACACATTTAACAAACCTAACTAAAGATAATGGAGTAAAATAAAATGACAATAATTGTAATTACTAATTAATTATCATCTGCATGTGAAAGAAGTAAATTACTACTACTGCCCGCATGGGTGTAGCTCAACTGGTTCCGGAGGTGATAAGTTGGTGCAAGGTCCTAGGATCGAATCCTGGCAGTCGCAGTGTGGGAATTTCAACTCCAATGAGATTGGTTCCTTGTGGGCACCAGGTCCGGGTCCGCTACCTTAACGGACCGTTGAGTTACCATGATTTACATTCCTCCATCAATCCTTGTCGGGCCAAGGGATGGGGCCTTGGGGACGAGGGATTTCGCCTTTTGGTGCAAGTAAATTACTACTATTTTGTAACAGTAATCTATAGTCGATAATTGCCAGCTGCTGTCCTTTAAATATAATAATAAATGCCATTTTTGCAGGTCCATTAATTTCTTGGCGTGTACAAACAAAGTCAAAGTCAACTTATCCCATTTTTTTTTCAATTAATTAATATTTATAGAAAATTCAATAGAATATACTAACTGGTAGGGAAAAAATGGTACCGCCAAATTTGACCAATTAATAGTGGCAGTTTTAACTTTTAAGTATGAAATTATATTTTCTGGTGTAAATTTAATGATCATATTTTGGATTGATTTATTATATAATTTAATTAAAATTTTAGAAATACGTACCTATTTTGTGTTTATTTCTTCAAGTACCCTAAGAAAAAATCAAGAATGCTGTGTATTGATGTTTGTAAGATATGTATGATTGTTTTTTTTTTTGAGTAATTTGAAAAAAAAAAATATAAAATAATAAGCAAATGTATATAATATCTATATTTTAATGAGTATAATTTATCTTCAAACTTAGATATTATATTTGAATTTTTGGATGAGAAATTAAATATTTAAGTGAACTAAATGACATAAATTAAATGAATACCTATAGAGAATGTGTAAAAGTAAAACAATTAAGTGAGAATGGACTAGAGACGTAAGATGAAATCACCCATGTTAGAATACTTAGAAAAATATCGTAATTAATCTAATTTGTGTATTATTCTATCATAGAAATACCCTATTTATAATAATAAATAAATGTTCAATTGCAATCTAAATAAAACTCATAATTTAAATATAACTCTATAATAATAAACTCCTGATCATATATTAACAACCGCGACGTTTAAAATCGAATATAACTCCATCAAATTCAGTGAATTAACAAACAAACCTATATTTACAGAATAAACTTTTTCAAAAAAAGTGACTTTGGAAATAATCGTATTTACGTAATTATTTTGGTCCAAACACATCTTAATCAATGATTTACACATGTATCAATGAAAAGCACCATCATTAAGATGTAAGTCAATTTTGTCACATGTCTCAATTAATTTAAAAGCCCCATTAATACACAAGTCAACTTACTTTGGCTTTTGTTGACTATTGGCAAGTTTCAATTTTTCGAACCGTTTATGTATTTTTTTTTTGTTAACATAAGTTTTCTGTAATTGAAAATTTGAGTATATATTCGGGCCTATGTCTCTCTTATGGGCTTCAACTGACTAGTAGTTGTATTCTGTAAATTGGGCCCAGGGCCCAAATTCAATCAATTATTTTGAAGATAATACCTATTTAGACATCATTTTATTTAG